AACTGAGAGCCCAGGGGACGTGGGACATGTGTGTGCAGGGATGTCACAGGGTCACAGACACGACAGGACGGGGGGCTCTGCACGATATGCAGATGAGATGCAGATGAGACACGTGCAGATTTCCCACCCACTGCCCCGGGTCGCAGCTGCCACGTCTGCCTGGCTTCTGGGGACACCCTGGGACCCCTTGGCTGAGCCCCAGGGCCGGAGGCTGCCACCCCCACGGGGACCCAGCCACGTCTCCAGGCAGGATCAGGCCAGGGGCCAGACACTGGGGCTGAGTCAGCAGGAAGGAGCCCACGGCCCCCGCCTGCTCTGGCCGCTTCCCGAAAAACATCTGGGACTCCTCAAGGGCCGGCGCCGGCTGCGGGAGAGGGACCCCAGCCCTGTGTCACGCACTGGCACGGTCCTGGTGAGGGCATCCAAAGGGGCTGTGGGTGCCTGGCCACCTCCCCCAGCCCCCCAACACCTCCCCCAGCCTCCCGGGAGCATCATCAGGGGGTCCCCCCTTTCCCACATTGCTCCGTCTCAGCCCGGGCCAGGAGGTCTCTTGGCTTTGGGGACAAACATGTCCCATGGGGGCAGGGACCTCACGTGCTGTCACCCCTCCGGATACCACCCCAGAAAGGGTGAAAGCCCTGGAGAACAGGGAGAATTCCCAGTCCCGGGAGCAGATGTGGGTCCACGCTGGCTCCCTTCCATCCTGTATTTCCTGTCGTGTCCCCTGCCCCTCACCAGGGCTGCTCCTCCATCCCACCTCACCCGTGATGCTTCCCCCCACCCCCTCGAGACATTTTCCCTGGCACCCATCATGCTCCTGGTGCTGCCAAATCCCTCCAAGACCATTAAATCTCTCTGGGAAAATCCTGGAAGCGCTTGGGCAGTGGCTGGGCCGATGGAATTAATTCATCAGCAGCTGCATCTGGTCCCAACTGCACATCTCCCCCCTTCCAGCTTGGCAATACCCCCCTCCTCAGGTACCCCCTTCCTCAAATACCCCCATCTTCAAATATCCTCCTCCTTTGATAATCCCCTCCTCGGGTACCCCCCTCCTCAGATATCCCCATTCTCAAATATCTCCCTCCTCGGATGCCCCCTGTATTTGGGTACCCTCCTACTCAGGTACCCCCATACCTGGATATTCCTCTTCCTTGGATAATGCACTCCTCAGATAACCCCCTGTACTTGGGTACCCTCATCCACAGGTATTTCCCTCTTTGGATAACTCCCTCCTCAGACATTCTCCTTCCTTGGATACCCTCATCCTCAGATACCCCCTTCCTCAGATACACCCCTCCTCAAATACCCCCTTCCTTGGATACCCCCTCCTCCCCTTCCCATGACAAAATCAGATAAACCCCCAAATTTTCCCAACACTGTCCCTACACAGGTCACTTGACATCACCCCCCACACCCCACCCACAGCCCCTGGGTGGGCTCTGCCTCAGTTTCCCCTCCCCATGGGACCTCCCCCTTACCGTAGGCAGTGCCAGCCTGGGGGTCCGAGAGCAGCAGGGAGCTGTGGGCACAGTGCTCCGAGGGTTCCAGATCCACGTCCCCGAACGCCAGGAGCAGGGAGGTGCCCAGGGGCGCCTGGAGCCGCCAGCGGCACATGGTGTGGTTGGGGTACGTGCCCGGGTAGTTCTTGGAGCTCAGGGTGCCACTGTGGGGTGCCAGCAGTGTGTGGCCACAGCCATTCCCTGTGGAGACACCGGGAAGGGCTCAGCTCCCTGCTGCAGTTTCCCCCCCCTTGGTGTGACCCCCCCTCAGCACCTTCAAATGGGTTTTCCTAGTCCAAAACATCTTTTTTTTTTTGGGGGTGGATTTTCTGGCCATTCCCCTGCACTGGGAGGGGGGGGTACTGGTTCAGCAGCAGTGCTTAATTTTCAGGGAAGCCTTCAGCAGTAGATCTCCTTTTGAAAATTAAAAAAAAAAAAAAAAAAAGGCAAGCAGCACTGCCTTTTAACCAGTTCATTAAGTAACATAACTCCAGACATCTTAGGGGGGAAAGGGAGGGGTTCCTAGATTCATCCCTGGGGGCATCCAGGGATGAAGCTGCCTCAGTTTCTCCCCACAGCCACCCAGCACTTCCAGCTCCTCTCTGTCCCCCAGACCAGGAGAACCCCAATTTGGGGGGACACAAAGGGATTCAAGGAGGAAATACCCCCATCCATGGGGCTGTACAGCCCTGGGCAGCCCCCCAGGACCCGCCTTGACCTTGAGCACGACCTTGGGCAGCTGCATCCCCACTGCCTCCTTCCCAGGGCGATGCCAGACCCACCACAAAAGGGGCTTTTCTCTGAGCTCACCGCCCCCAGGCACGAGGGAACATCCTGGAAACCAGCTGAAAGCGCCCGGTGTTGGGATCCAGACGGGACTTCTGGGCAGGGTTGGGATGCAGGGAAAGAGGGGAAGCGTCGCTCAGCCGCTCTGTGTGGGCTGGGGGCATGTGGGGGTCCAGTGCCCACCCTCTCTCCGCCTCCCCAAAAAGCTGCTGCTCCTGCCAAGCATCCTCCTGGCACAGCCAGAAAGAAAAGGGATGGTGGGCAGGGTTTTGCCCAGCCTTGGCTCCCCTCGCCGTCGCCGGGAGACGGCACAAAGTGCCGGCAAGGGAAAATCCTGCAGGGATGAAAAGGGGGGGCGCCGGAGGTGGAAGATGCCAGCCCCCCCCACGGAGCCCCCTCCCTCCTCCCCAGCCTGCGGGAAGGGCTGGAGGCCAAACTGGGGGGGTTCATCCTGTGGGACCGGGAGAAATCCCCCAGTTTTCCCTCTGGATGCTGATGGAGCAGAGCTGGGAAGGATCAAACCTTCCAGGACTGAGGGTGGTGGAGGGGCAGTGGGGACCCCAGGGCTGCCGGGACAGTGGCTGCCAGAAGGGCTGCTGTGCTGGGGGGAGAGAAATTCGGGGTATTTCGGGGGAGTTTCCAGCAAGGAAAGGCAAAGCCGTTGGGATCTGCATGAAAAACCCTCCCTGCCCGGGACGGCCAGACCCCAGTGAGCCCAGTCGGGGGCCTTGGATGGACCCCCTCCAAGCTCCATCTCCACGCTGGTGGGTGCGGAGGAGCTGGGGGGATCCATTCCAGGAAAAAAAAAACACCCCGGGAAAGGAAATCCTTGTTAAAAACATCCCGAGTGTGGCCAGCGCGTGCCGGGAGGGAATGCCAGAGATAAGCCACGCCAGAGATAAGCCGAGAGCTGCAGGCACTCCTGGGAATTCGGCTCCGGAGATGCTCCCGAGGGGCCAGGAATAGCCAAGACAGAGCCACGGGGGACTTGCCCTCCCCTCCCCCCCAAAAAAACCCTGAATTGCCAAAAAATGTGGAAACTGGGTTTCCGGCGGGCGAGGGCGAAGTCACGGCCGGGCCCCCGCTGGGCTCAGTCCTGCCAGGGATTTGTTTGTTTTCTCACAGGATGCAGGAAAGACACAACAGGGCGATGCTCCGGGAAAAGCCCGGCACACTCCCGCCTCCGTCACGCCGCCGGCCCCGGGAAAGCTCCCCCGCGTCCACCAGCGGGTTTCGGATCCGCTGGAAACCCTGTGCAGGATGTGTCCCAAAACTGGATGTGTCCCAACCTTGGGGGACGCAGCGGGATTGTGCCCCTGGTCATCCCGCCCTGGCCCCGTGCCTCAGTTTCCCTTCGCTCGGAACGATGCCTTGGATGCCCCGTCCTTGTCTCTCCTCGCTCTTGGATGAGCTGAGGACAAGCGGCACCGGGAAACATCAACTTCGGGATGAGGTCTGGGTGAACATTCCCTCGGGGTCGTCCTGGACCCCGCGGGTGCAAATCCCACTGCTCCGCGGCATTCCTGGGATGGAGCCGCTGCCCGGCTCTCCCGACTGCGCACCGGGAGCGCCAGCGATCCTCTTAACCGGGGATTAAGGGATCCTGGAGAAAGCCCTGGGGGCGGGACGGAGCCGGGACCCCCGGGACCACTGGGACAGGAGGTACTGGGAGTGGGGACAGAGGGAGCGGGGGGAACAGGACCGGGGTGATGAGGGGGGGTAGGGGCAGCGGGGAGCTCGTACCGGAGAAGGGGGATGGAGCGGACCCCGTCCCGTCCGGTACCGGGACAGAGGGACGGCAGGGACGCGGATCAGGACCGTGAGAGAGAGATGGATGTGCTCCATCCCGTCCGGTACCGGGACAGAGGGATGGAGGGGGCTCCGTCCCCGATCGCTGCTGGAGCAGAGGGATGGCAGGAACCTCGTCCCGGATCGAGACCGGGGCAAGCACACCGCGAGGACCCTGTCCCGGTGCGCTCCGCTCTGGACACAGCAAGGACCCGTTCCCGGGAGCCCATCCCGGTCCGATCCCGGCCGGGACACAGCGAGGAGCCCGTCCCGGAACTCACCAGGACAGAGAGCAGCCCCCTCCCGTTCCCCATCCCATACCCAGCCTTGCTCCCCAATCCGGCGAGCGAAAGGGAAGCCCCGGGAGTTGCCGGTGGGACCGGGGACTCCCGGCGCCGGTGCCCCCCCAACCCACACTCACCGTCCTGTGCGGCGGCCGGGCGCAGCCCCAGCGGGCCGAGCAGGAGGCAGCAGCGGCGGAGCAGCAGCGCCAGCGCCAGCGCCCGCGAGGCCGCCCCGCCGCCCGCCCGCATCCTCCTCCCGCCGCCGCCGCTACGGCCCCGCCGCGGCCCCGCCGCGCCACCGCCCCGGCCCGCCCCCCCCGCCCATTGGCTGCCTCCGCCCTGCCCTGCGTTGCTATTGGGTCATCTCTCTGTCAGCCACCCGCCCCTGCCACACCCACCGTGTAGAGCCCGCCCTCTTTCCGCTTCTCGCGCGGCCATTGGCTGCTGCCGCGCTTCCGCAACGTTATTGGTCTATCTTGCTGTCAGTCAGCCGGGACCGCCACGCCCGCCACGCTGCACCCGCCTCCTTCGCACCCATTGGCTGTCGCTGCCCGCCCCCGCATCGCTATTGGTTCACCTCGCTGTCAATCAAGCGGCGCCTCGCTGTTGGGGGAGCGGGGGGTCTGGCGGCGTGGGGGTGTCTCAGGGGTCGCAGTGTGGAGATGCCCGGTACCGCGTTCCACTTCTCGCTGCTCGGATGGCCGCGAGAGGGCGAGCACACCCCGCCGTGACCGCCCCGCCCCCGCTCATCTCGTGTCCCGGCGTGGCGGGGGCGATACCCCCGGCGGCCACCAGGCGGCAGCGCCGCGGGCCCCTTAAGGCAGGCGGCGGCCGGAAGTGCTGGCGGCCGAGGCCGCGGCGGGCGCTGCGCATGCGCGGGCGCTGCCCGGCCCGTTCCCCCCCGCTCCCCCCCCTCCCCGTTCCCCCCGTTCCTCAGCCCCCGCTTCTCGGCCGCTCGCCGACGGTAAGGCCCGGGAGGAGCCGGGAGGGGCCGTGCGGGCGCGACGGGGCGGGGCTGGGCTGGGCGCGAGGGGGCCCGGCCCCCGCCGTGAGGGGAGGGAGGGGTCGCTGCCGTACGTGCCGCCGCCGCCGCCGTGAGGGCGGACGTCGCGCGCCGCGGGGGGGCGGGCGGGGGGGGGGCAGCGCCGTGAGGGGGGGGTGGAGGGAGGAGAGGGGGGGGCGAGACCACGCCCCCTCCCCCGGGCAGGCCACGCCCCTCGGGCGCCGCGCGCCGCCGGGGGGACCTGACCCCCCCCCGACCCCCGAACCGCCGCTCGGGGACCCCCCCCGGGGAACATGGGGAGGGACCCCCCCACCCCAGCCCTCACCAGCGCTGGGGGCGACCCCCGCCCGGGGCTGACCGTGTGCTGGCGGCCCCCCCGTGCCGGACATCCTGGGGAAGCCGCAGCCCCACCACCCCTCCGGGGGTATCGGGCGGTCCTGGGAGGTTCCGGGGGGGCCTGGGTGCCCCCCGGAGCTGGGAGAGGCGCAGGGATCCCCGGGGAGCCCATGGCTGGAGCGTGGCCCCTGTGGTGGTGAGTCCCCAAGCTTGGGACATCGAGACCCCCGTCACCCGCCGGGATGTCCCGACCTGAGATCTCTGAGATTTAGATGGGATACTGGGAAGGAATTGTTCCCTGGGAGGGTGGGGAGGCCCTGGCACAGGTTGCCCAGAGAAGCTGTGCCTGCCCCTGGATCCCTGGAAGTGTCCAAGGCCAGGTTGGACAGGGCTTGGAGAAACCTGGGCTATGGAAGGTGTCCCTGCCCATGGCATGGGGTGGGACTGGGCAATCTTTAACATCCCTTCCAACCCAAACCATTCCATGATTCTGACAGTCTGTCTTTCCCTGAAGCTTTTACACCCCAAGGGGGTGATCCTGGCCCCACAGCTGTCACAAAACCACCTCTGTGCCTCCTGCACAGCCACAGGAACATCCCTGGGAGTGCAGCTGCTCTGTGACCCCCCTCCCTTCCAGGTTCTCCTGCAGCACCACAGTTTCTCCTGGGAAGGATCATCCCCAGGCATGTTCCTGGTAGCAAAGGATCGGAGCATCCCAGAGGTGGATCAGAGCACCCCAGGGGCTGGCTTGGAAACTCAAGCTCTTGCCAAAACCCTCCATGTGGGTTTGCTTCCCTGGCCTCGGGGGTGCAGGGCCAGGGAGAGCCACCAGCTCGGGAAGTCAGGAGTGGGATGGCACTGGTGGGGGAGAATCTGCCTGTGGGATCTGTTCCCAGCTCTCGTGATCCACAGGGAGGAGGAAAACCTCACCGTGTTCATGTGAGAGATGGCGAATGCCGAGGTGAGCGTCCCTGTGGGTGATGTGGTGGTTGTACCAAGTGACGGGAATGAAGGGGAGAACCCGGAGGATACCAAAACCCAGGTGATCCTGCAGCTCCAGCCGGTGCAGCAAGGGTGAGTTGGGTGGCACTGGTGTGACTGGGAGGTGTGGGATGCCATGGGGGTGGGAGGATCTGTGGGTTTTCCTGGCGTGGGGACAGAGCGTCGTGGCGTTTTCCAGGGCTGTGTCGGGTTTGTGCCACACAGGGGAGAGGGAAAAATACAACAGGAAAAAGCTTGTGTGTGTGACTGTCATGGGGCCTCCAAGGGCTGAAAGTGTTCTGAGGGATCCTGCCTGTGGATCGTGGCAGTGGTGCTGTCCCTCTGCAGCCCCGGGGTGGATTTTGGCCACGCTGCAGCTGCTGCACCTGGTGGTCTGTGTGTCTAGACTACCTGTGCCTCTGTGCCAGCTTTCCCCTAAAATAATCCTTAAATACAGTGAAGCTGGGATGTGGAGGGAATTTTGTGGCACCCTTGGTGCTTCATTTTCACTCTGGATCAATCAGGATGTGAAAAAACTGGCGCCAGGTAGATAATATTCACAGAGCAGGGTGGCTGTGGGCCTGGCAGTGACTCCCCTGTGTGGTCAGCCTGTGCTGCAGTGGCACACAGGGCTGGAAGGGACATCCTGGGACACTGTTCTCCTCTTCCTGCTGTTGTGGGTGACAGAGAGCAGAGGAGAAGGCACAGGGAAGACTGCAGAGCTGCCTCGGTGGTGCTGGCAGCATGGAGGGTGGGCTGACAGCACTGGGAACGCCTCTGCATGTGTCAGTCCTTGGGATTATTAGTGCCAAAAAACACTGCACCAGACAAAATCCACGTCCTTCAAAGACAGGCAGAAGGAGGGAGCCGAAATTTTAACCCCGTGCTGTGCATCCTGATTTCCCATGGTTTCCATGGTTTGTTTATGGATGGCCACTCTCACCACAGGATTTACCAGGAGGGCTCCGAGGCCAGTGCTGCCGTGGTGGCCGTGGAAACCCACACCATCCACAAGCTGGAAGAAGGGATTGGTGAGTTCCCCCTCAGCATGGACAGATCCCCTCCTGTGCAGGGCTGGTGTCTCCAGTCCGCTGGGCTTCCTTCTGGCTCTGCCCCTGCAGATGCTGATTCCCAAGCATGGATGTGGGTGCAGGGGCTGGGCATACTCTGGAATAAGAGTCTGCTGTTACTGCTTGGTCCCAAAGTCCTGGAAGTGAGATCCTGGCTCTCCTGCAGTGAATGGTAAGGGCTCCCAAGGGGTCCAGGGGAGCCGGGATGTCACCCTAGTCGTGGTGTGCAGGCACTGGCAGCAGGAAGGATGGTGGTGAGGAATGATGGTGCCTGGAGCCCCAGGCTCTGGTCGCTGGGTCTTTGCTGAAGCAATAGCCTGGTGGTTTGGGTTGGATGCTCAGAAGAGCCAAGTGCTCCCTGCCATTCCCTGAGCAGTGTGTGGGAAAAGGCTCCTGTCGCTGGGTGCTGTCACTAGATCTTGACTAAAGTTCTGCTTCCTGTGTGGGTGTGGGTCTTTTGGCAGTATTAGCAGAAACTCTATGTGTGAAGTGAATATATTATCAGTAAATATCTGATATTGCTGCTAAAGAGATACCAGAGCTCCAAGAATCTGAGAGAGATCTGTGCTTCAAATTTTAAGCCATTTTGTTGCCACAAAGATTGTTCTCATTGACACCTCCCCCTTACAGATGTGTTGGATTTCTGGTCTCATGTTCTCCCGATAGCTGAGCTTAATTTTGGGCATCATTATACCAAAAAGCAGATGCCAGTTGCTTTTGGAGTTAGTACGTGGAGAAGACTAAGAGAGGACTGATCCTGAACTGGGATAAGCCCTTTTTTTGCTTTCCCAAGTGCAGATCTCACAACCTGTGAGCTCCTATCTCCTGCCTTGTGGGATTCGAGCCTCTTGGGTGGGAAGTCTCATTTTGAGCCATTCCTCCCTCAGACCCCAGCACCCTGGAAACGAGTGAGGAGATCGAGATCGCCTACCCCATCACCTGCGGGGAGAGCAAGGCCATCCTGCTCTGGAAGAAGTTTGTCTGTCCAGGAATCAATGTCAAGTGTGTGAAGGTAAGGGGAAAACGCCCCATGGATTTCTTCTCTGCTTGACCTCCACAGGACTTCCTTACTTCTTGTGTTTCATCCTAACCTTGTCCTGGAACTGAGTGGCTTTGCCTTTGGATTGTTGGTGCTCGAGTTGTTTTTAGATGGGAAGAAGCATGGGAAGAGGAGAGGAGGAGATCACACATCTTAGATTTCACAGCCATATTGGCCCTTGAGGAGGGATTGAAGGCAGGCAGGGGAGGTGTGCTGAGATTCAGAGGAGCTTTGCTTCCTTCCCTCTTTCCCTCGGAGTCCTGGTACTCCACTCCTGTCACTTCCTTGGGGAGCAGGTTGCACTGGGAAGAGAAATCTTGCACTGGGAAGAGAAACCTTTTCCCACTTGAGAGTGTGGCAGTGTGACAGCAAATATGAGTCTGAGCCCCATGTGCTGCTCCCCCTCAGTGGGATTTACCTGAGTCACTGGAGCAGGACAGAATGAATGCCTGAGGGAACACCTGTGTCAGCTGGAAGCTCCTGGGCTATTTGATGTAACAGGAGCTCCTGCAAGGATCTCCAAGGTGACATGTTCACAGGAGATGATTTGGTTCATACAGAGCCTTCAGGGCTGTTCTTGGTTAGACTGTGTGGTTTGAATGCTGATGGTGGCAGGCCATCCCTGCAGACATCCATCCTCGAGCTGTAGGAATTGCTGTGCCCAGGGGATCAAAGCTGGGAGGGATCTGAGAAGCAGCTCCTCTCTCTGAGTGGAAGTGGGGCTGTAGACTGGCTGTGTTGGATGTCCCAGTCTTCCCAAATGACGTTTCCCTGTTTGCTGAGCCTTTGTTTGTCTCGTCAGTTCAATGACCAGCTGATCAGCCCGAAGCATTTTGTTCACCTGGCTGGGAAATCCACCCTGAAGGACTGGAAAAGGGCCATTCGCCTCGGAGGGATCATGCTGAGGTATCTGACCCTGTCCAGCCTCTGGGCTTCGCCCCTGCAGCTGCAGGACCCCGAGCAGGCATTTTGTCCGCTTTGAAGTCCCCAGGAGGTCTCTTGGAGCCTCACAGTACCTGGCCAGCACCCTGCAGAGATCCTGGCCCTGTGGTGTGATCCAGGATCCCTCATCCTGGAAGAAGTGGCCTCACCTGGGGGTCCTGGTACTTGGTGGGGTGGAACAGGACTGGAGCCCTGCACGTGAAGCTGGGGGATGGCTTGTGTTTGCCATTTGAAAGCCTTGCAGGACGTTTTTTGTGCGCGGGGTGGCCCTGAGGTCTCCCTTTCCGTGTCCTTCCCATGGCTGTAGCATTCCCATGTGGAACACACCCGTTTTGTCTCCAGGCTGAGCCTTGAGCTGAGCCTGGTTCTCTCCCCACTCCCTGCACAGGAAGATGATGGATTCGGGGCAGATTGACTTCTACCAGCACGACAAAGTTTGCACCAACACGTGTCGGAGCACCAAGTTTGATCTCCTGATCAGCAGCGCCCGAGCGCCGGTGCCGGGGCAGCAGAGCGTGGTGCAGACCCCGACCTCAGCTGATGGTAGGAAACCAGCTACCAGTGCCATAGGAATTCCTTCTCATGCTCCTCTCCCTCCCGCCTTCTCCCCGGGCACAGCAGGGTGGTCCCACTGTTTTGAAGGAGACTGCTCTGGTTTTTGGGAAGGAAAGTGTGTCTTGTGTCTGCTCAGAGAGGTGTCGGCAGCATTTGTCAGGGAGCTCTGCTGTGCAGGACTGGGAGGGACTGTAAGCAGCTGGCATCAAGCAGATGCTTTCCAGAGGCAGCCTTGGGAGCCAGGAGAGGGATTGAGAGCCTTGAAGGGATCCCTATTCTGGGATCACCGTGTGAGCAAACGCCTGAGAGAGCTCGCACAGCGTTTTCCCATGTATTTCCCATTTGGGAATCTGTTACAAAGGCAAAAGCTGGGCTCATTCTGACAATGAATTTAGGGGTGCTGAGCTCCTCCAGAACATCCATGAACTGGGTGTGATGGCTGGACATGATTTGATTGTCATTCCAACTGCAAATGCTCAGTGATCCTGAATGCTCTTTGCTGAGGTTAAGTCTATTCCCAATTTTATGGCATTGCTCAGCTGGGTGGGTTACATTTCTAAGAGTCCATGTGTGGGTGGGATGGAAGAGTTGTCCATAGGCTAAGGAGAATCTCCTGGAAAGTACCATGGCCATGTGGTAAAACCTTACAGTGGCTGCACATTGGCTTAGTCCCAAATTTGATCCAGATTGAGTCAGATCCATTTCCCTTCTATAAACCAGCTCGGACCCCCACTCCATCATTTCCTGAGGGATTAGGGTACCTCTGGAGTGCAGGGGTCCCTGTGGATGATACAAGGTGAGAAGGTTGCCTGAGCCTTATTTGTTCCCTTCTTTATTCTGATCCCTTTCTGCTCTTTTGGTGTGAGGACCCCACTCTGCTTTTTGGAGGGCACATAGTTTTCCCTCCAGAACTCCCAGAGCCTTTCGCTGCCACAGCTCCAACAAGAAGCATTTGGTTGAAAGAAGCCAAGCACAAACTTGACCTGAGAGTGAAGGAGAGCTTCGGGAGGGGTGAGGGGGTGGGAATCAAAGCAGGGATCCAAGGCTGGCACTCCAGCTCCAGAGGGAGCTGACAGGGGCTCTCTGGCAGGGAGCATCACCCAGATCGCGCTGTCGGAGGAGAGCATGGAGGAGGGCATCGAGTGGAACTCGGCTCTCACAGCTGCTGTCACCATGGCCACTGAGGAGGGCATCAAAAAGGACACTGATGAGATCTCAGGTAAGCCCAGGCTGCTTGCTGGGTGGTTTTTTCCCTTCTCCTCCCCTTGTTATATGTTGGAAATCCTGAAAATAAGGAGAGTTTGAGCAGTGAGCTGTCCCCCAGCCCCTTGGCTATCCCAGCTTTTCCCAGACATCCAGGCTTCCTGCCAAACAGAACTCGTCACCACTGCAGGACTTCAGCCCTGGCCTCGTGGCTGATGGATGATCCCCCAGTTCAGATGTTACTAGTTACAGTGAGGGGCTTTTCTTAATTTATTCTAAGGATGTAAAACATGTTTGCCAGCCTGGAGCATGTTCCCAGTCAGCTCTCTGGGCTGTCTCTCTGGCTTGCATTCCCTCTTAGGATCAGTACAGAAGTTTAGCCAGAACTTCCTCAAGATTTTAAGCTCTGCATCTTGCAAAGATGTGAAATGAACATTTTTCACATCTTTGCCTTGGAAGTCACGGAGCTGCTTGAAAACCTGCTCTAATTTGCTGCCTGAGTCTTGTTTTGCTTGCTTTGGGGTTGGTTGTTTCTTTTTCACATGTCCTGTCTACCCCAAACTGGAAGTCACCTTGCAAAGTTACACTTGCCTGAAAGGTTTAAGGTGGCCCTGTGGGGAAAATGCCAGTTGCTTGTACATGTTGACTTCTTTTCCCCCTTTTTTGTGCCAGAGGACACGCTGATGTTCTGGAAGGGAATAGCTGATGTGGGGCTGATGGAAGAGGTGGTGTGCAACATCCAGAAGGAGATAGAAGAAGTCCTAAGAGGGGTGCAGCAGAGGTTGGGGCAGTCTCCCTTCCAGATGACAGGTAGGTTGTGAGGAAGGAGCCTCCAAAGGGCAGCTGCAGGCAAAAAAACCTGGCAAGTGTCCATCCCACCATGTAAAGCTGGTGAGTCAGGATTGGGAACGAGTTCCCACTCATTAGCTGAGCTGTGGGAGCATAGCCTGGATGTGTTCTCAGCCTGCCCAGCTGTGAAGTGCCTTTGCTTCAAGGCACTAGGACACACCATTCCACCCTGTTCCCTGAGCAGAGTGACCCTGGCAGCTTGTTGGGACTTTGAGATGACTGTCCACAGCTCCCAGCCCTCATGGAAGCTCTTCCAGAGTCACTTCTTGGAGCAGAGTTATTCAAACACAAAGGGTCCTGCCCCCTCACTTCTCGTTCTGCTTTCAGTGGTGCCAGAAAACCTGTTTTTGGGGCTGAACCAGACGAGGGGAACGATCTGGGTTAAAAATAACTCCCCTCCCCTTTTTTAGGGTTATTTTTAACTTGGATCCGTTCCCTAATCCAGTTTGGCACATGCCCCTGTGAGCACCTCTCGTTGATGCTCTTCCTGAGAGAACATCCACGGAGCCACAAACTTCATTTTACCCAGGATATTTTATTTTTTTTTCCTTAATTTTCTGATTTAACTTCGGGCTAGCGGATCTTTGTGTCTGGTAGGTGGCAGCTTTTGGGAGCTGTGAGTGATTGAAGTCAGTGGATTATAACAGACATTTTGCAAAGCTTTCAGTGGAGCTTGGCATGTTAATGACACTGTCAGCAGCATGGGGTGATGGTTTGTAGGTGGAGAGCTCGTTTGTATCTCTGTGATTGCAAATTATGCTTTCATTTGCAGCAGTTTGGAGCTGCTTGAGTGACACAGCTCTGTTCCTCTTGCTTTATCATGTGAATGGGATTATTTAGTCCTGGGATGTCAGAAGGATGAGGGAGCTGGGTCTGCCTTTGTCAGCCAGCCCTTGTGAAAGAACAGAGTTTTACAAAAAGCAGCAGAAAATTTTTGCTGTAATAGGAGCATCTTTTGAGTACCTGAGTCCTGCATGGGACTGAGCACCCTTTCCTTGCAGATGCTGCTGTCCTGAACAACGTTGCCCACACATTTGGTCTAATGGACACAGTCAAGAAGGTTCTGGACAACAGGAAAAACCAGACAGAGCAAGGAGAGGAGCAGTTTCTTTACACACTAGCAGGTAAAGTGCCTAATAAAGGTTCACATCCTGCTGCTGCTCTTGGGAACAAATGTGATTTTCCTTCCACACAACCTCAATGCAACTCCCTCCTCATTGTGTCCTATAGGATCTGTCCTTACCCCAGTCCTAGTCCCCTGCTGCCCTGGATAAATGAGGGAGCATTTATCTGTGCTGCTTCTGGCTCCCAGTGTTCCCACCAACAAGGGAGGAAGGATGGGGGTGAGGGAGATGTTTCATTGACCCCAGGTCCTGCTCCTGTGCCCAGTGCTGGTGCTTGGCTCTGGGAATGTGACTCAGCCAAGCTCAGGAAGCAATTCCAACTGTCCAGGGGGGTTTGTCCACTCTCCCTTATAGGTGGGTTTAGCTTGGGGAGCAGAAATGCCCATCTTCTTACCAGTAGGAGTAGCCAACAGGGATGGAACGTTACCTGTGCCTTATCCAGGTGCTGACAGCTGGAACACTGACCTGTGTGGGTGGCAAGAGAACCTGACCTTTTCTTTAAGTGTAGTTTGATCCCAAGGGAGATGCCAAGATCACGCTGGCTGGGTGGTTGGGTGTCCCCTGTCACAACCCTGGGGGGTGATGGAGCCCCAGGAGCTCCCGGTGTCCCCAGCCTGACGTGCCCTTCCCTTCACAGACCTGGAGCGGCAGCTGGAAGAGCAGAAGAAACTCGCCAGGGACCAGAAGGCCAAGTCCCAGACCATCCAGAACGTGGTGCTGATGCCCGTGAGCGCTCCCAAGCCCCCCAAGAGACCCCGCCTGCAGCGCCCAGCCTCCGCCACCGTGCTGAGCCCCTCCACCCCCCTGCAGCAGCCCCAGTTCACCGTCATCTCCCCCATCACCATCGCGCCCGTCGGGCAGCAGTTCTCCGTGGGCAACATCCCCGTGGCCACCATCAGCCAGGGCTCCAGCCCCGTGACTGTGCACACGCTGCCCTCCGGCTCCCAGCTCTTCCGATACGCCACCGTGGTGTCCTCCTCCTCCTCCTCCTCCTCCTCCTCCAAGACCAGCTCCTCGGACACGGTGACCCTGCACCCGTCCTCCAGCCTGGCGCTGCTGAGCTCGGCGGCCATGCAGGACAGCGGGGCCCTGGCCAACGTGGCGGCCGTGGTCAACCCCGTGGAGCTGGTGGCCATGGAGTCGGGCATCACCTCCACCATCCAGGCCGTGGAGGGCACCTCGGACGACGGGCAGACCATCATAGAGATCGACCCGGCGCCGGATCCCGAGGCAGACGCGGACGAGCCCGAGGGCAAAGCTGTGATCCTGGAGACGGAGCTGAGGACTGAGGAGAAAGTGGTGGGAGGAGACGTGGAGGACCACCAGCACCAGGTCCATAACGTGGAGATTGTGGTCTTGGAGGACTAGTGGGGAAGGCAAAGCATCAGTTTGGGGAAGAGTTGGGAATTTATCTGATTTCAGGCTTCTTTTTTTTTTTTTGTTAAGCATCTTTTCCAGCCACCCCATTTGTTTCCATGGATATTTTCATTGTCCTGTATATAATATATATATATATATATATATATATAATTTTGTTTTTTAAAACAAAAAAAAATCTGGAGAAACACGTGAGACCTGGAAAAGGCTCCGTCTCCGTGGAGCACTGAACAATCCCCCCCTGTTTGCAGGGTCAAGGAGAGACTGGATCTCTGCTGGACAACCCAACTGGGAGGAACCAGCCACACACTTGGTGCTTCTGCTCCGGGGCTGCCCTGGCCCCAGAGACTTTATCTGAGAGACAATAACCAGTGGCTGGAGCGTGGATGTGGCTGTGGCTGTGGGAAGGGGTGACGGATTTGGGGTGGAACAGGTACCTCATTTGTATTTTTATTTTCCCCAGGGAAGGGAGTTCTGTCGGACTCTTCGCTGTCACCTCAATTGGGATTTTTTTATTGTTATTCTTGCTTTGGGGAGCCTGACAGTCCGTGAATTTGCTGCCCATGTTCTCCTCCTCCTCTTCCTCCACACAAATTGTTTTTGTATCTCTATTTTTTTGTATTTGTTTACTCTCTCCCTTCCCGCTGCCCAGATAGCCCAGCTGCAAAGCCCTGGGGCCTCCTCTCCGGGTTCCCTGTATCCCAATCCCACTTCTTCCCGTGGCACTTTCCCCCCCATCCCTTTCCCTGCCTGGCCAGGCTCGGTGCTGCCGCTTGGAGACTCCGAGATCACTTTCAGCCTTTCACAGAAAGGCAAAAAAATACCAACTCAAGCTCAAACCCAGACCCTTCCCTTGGCTGCTCAGCGCCACAGGGACCTTTTTGGGGTGTACAAAGCATGTTGTGCTGTTGCTTTCCGGGAGAGCTGGATCCTGGATTGGGACAGCTTCTGTTTACACTGTGTGCTGAGGCTGCTCCGTGCTTGTTGCTACTCGTTTTGGTGGTTTTATTTTTGTATTATTATTATTATTATTATTTCTTATTTCTTCCTATAATCTCTTGGCAGGATTAGAACTGGCACGTTGCTGAAATAATGTGCACCCCACTGTTTTCCCTCTTTATTTTTCAGTGGGAAGATGGAAATGGGGAAGCGCCGGGTGCCTTTAGAGCTGCGGAGGTTTGGGAGGGGCTGGGAGGGGGGAGCTGCTTGGCTGGAAATATTAAGCAAAACAACAGGCAAAGATAAAAAGAAACACACCTGGGGAGGGCGGGGGGAGGGCAGGAAGATGTGTTTGGCTATTTTTTTGCATTAAAAGGAAAAATGGAACTAAGCTCCAATGGTTTATTCGTGGAGAGGTGGAAGGCAGCGACTCCGTCACCTCCAGGATGGGATGGGCAAGGATCCCTCTGCCTGCGTTTGGGAGTGGTGGTTGCAGCTGCTCTGACCCTGGACTCTGGGAAGTGTTTCCTGGCTTGGGTTGGAGGTGGGAAGAGCAGTGGGAGCCAGATCCCATGTTCAGCCCGGAGGAGGGAAGGCACCAGGGAGACCTTGGGGCCCCTTCCAGTGCCTAAAGGGGCTCCAGGAGAGCTGGAGATGGACTTGGGACAAGGGATGGAGGGACAGGACAAGGGGGAACGGCTTCCCACTGCCAGAGGGCAGGGTTAGATGGGATATTGGGAAGGAATTGTTTCCTATGAGGGTGGTGAGGCCCTGGCACAGGTTGCCCAGAGAAGCTGTGGCTGTCCCTGGATCCCTGGAAGTGTCCAAGGCCAGGCTGGACGGGGCTTGGAGCAACCTGGGATGGTGGAAGGTGTCCCTGCCCATGGCAAGGGGTAGAACGAGATGGGCTTTAAGGTCCCTTCCAATCCCAACCCTCCTGTGATTCCATGGTTTTAGATCAAGGATCCACTTCCTTCCACATCCAGCCACCTTCTCTTCCCTCCCCTCTGGCTCGCTTCATGCATCCTTGACCTGAGAGGGACGGGGATCTTTTGGGGACCCCATTCCGCGATCCAGGCTCACAGCACGAGCCGTGCCCGTCCTTTCCCGGGAAAGGGGCAGGACCTGGGTGGGAGACGGGAGAGGCGACAGACCAACACCCAGCGAGCCCCTTGACCCGGCTGGGGGTCCCGGACGGCTGCGTCCTCCACGCCTTGTAGAGCTGGGGACAGCGGGGAGCTAAAATCAGGTTGTGCTGAATCCGCCGCCGTGCCCCGAATTCGCCGCGTTTCGCCCCAAAGCCGGCGCGGGGCCGCCTGGCCCTTTAAGAGCAGTTCCCGCTCCCGCCCGAGCGGGGGCGCTGTCGCTCCCCCCTCCCCGCGGTCCTCCTCCGTCCCGGCATGCCCCGCGCCCGCCCCCCCCCCCCCTCATTTCCCGCCATTGTGCCTGGGCGCGCGCGGCGCCGCGTGACCGGGCGGGGGGAGCGCGAGGCGGCGGGGCCCGGGGGCCATAGAGACTGGGGGTGGGGGGGCGGGGGATAGAGCGTCCCCCCCTCGCCCCGCTCCGCTCCGCCCCGCCGGCCGCCGCCGAGTCCGCCAAAGGGCCGCCCCGCAGCCCCCGCCGGGCCCGGACAAAGCGCCGCCGCCGCCGCCTCCTCCTCCTCCTCCTCTCCCGCCCCGCCCCGCCCCGCCCGCAGCCCCCGCCGCGGAGCCATGTCGGCCAGCAGCCTCCTGGAGCAGGTACGAGCCTCCCCCTCCCGCCCGCGCCGTCGGGCCGAGCTCCGCCGCGCCGGGCCCAGCGCAGGGGGAGCGCCCCGGGGCGGCGACGGCCTCGCCGCGCTCCATTGTGCTGCGGCGGGGCCGGGCCGCGCCTGGGCCGGGCCTGGGGCTGTTGTTTGAGCCGGGCCTGTCCCGGACCGGGCCTGTTTCCCCTCCAGGACCGGGTCCGTCCCCGCCGGGCCTGGGCGTCCCTCGCTGTGCCAGGCGTGTTTCCTCCCCCCGGGCTGGCTCCGTTTTTCAGCCCCCGGGTGTGTTTTCCCCCCTTCCCACTGGCCGAGTGTGTTTTCCCCACCCCCGGGTCTTTTTTCCACGCTTCCAGAGCCGGGTCTGACCCTCCCCTTCCCCCAGGCCGGGTCTGTTTCCCCCCTCCCCGGGCTCGTCCTTGCCCCTCCCGGAGCCGCTTCTCCCCCTGACTCACCGCTCTCCTTCTCTCCCTCCCTCTTTTTCTCCCCCCACGCCGCCGCTGCTCCAGAGACCCAAGGGCCAAGGCAACAAAGGTGAGAGCCCTGGGCAGGGCTGGGGACGCGGGGGAGGGAGGGAAGGAGGGTCTCCCCAAAATCTGTCGGGAGCCAGGAGGGGAACAAGCCCCGCGTGGCTGCAGGAAGTTTGCGGGTGTTGTTTGTGCCGTGCGCCGTGTGTTAGAACCGGCAGGAGTTCGTTGTATTACAGGATTTGGCTTTAAATACTTTAAGTCGGTAAACGTTGGGAGTTTGTTGCATGTTGTTTTCTGAAGTTTCACGTCTCTCCTCAGTGCAAAACGGCTCTGTGCACCAGAAGGATGGGCTGAATGATGATGACTTTGAGCCCTACCTGAGCCCCCAGGCCCGCCCGGTGAGTACCAGGAGCCTGCTGGTTTCCTGCTGCTCCAGCAGAGGGGAATTTGGCCTCCTTGTGTGTGTTCCCCATCTCCACTGGCTGCATTTTGATCTTTGCCAGCACCTTATATCCCATCCTACACCTGCATTTCCCACCCTACACCTGCATTTCCTGCAGGCAGGAAGCACTGACTCTGCCTTTAGGTTGTGGTGGTGGGTGAGGTAGGAAGGGGCTTAGCAACTTTTTGAGGCTGTGAGAACTTCCTCCACGTGGTGTTCAGCTCCTTTTTTTCAATCTCCAAGTCACCATTTCTGCTCTTTCAGTTTTACTGTTGTGCCTGTGTTGGTTTTTGGCTCTTTGCACCACACAGATGTGCCGAGCTGGGTTGGGAAGTCGCCTCACACGAGGCTGCTGTGCTCAGCAGGGCTTTTGGAGGATCAGATCAACCTTCTTATCTCTGCACCGAGTCAACTGACAGTGCCTGTCATGGGAATTTCTGTTTTTCACCGAAAAAAAGCCCCAAAAACAAAACCCAGAGCCCACGTGTGATAAGAGCGTTGAGACTTTCTGAGAACCCCGATTACAAGTCGAGCTGGAGGGTCTGTGACCAGCCCCTGGAATTCAGGCTCCCACCTACTTTTCCTCCTCACTTTCCCTTAGACTGGCTCCCCTGCTAACTGGTTTTTGTTTGTTTTCCTTAATGAGCTGCAGGGGAGTGACACAGAACAGATGGACTTCAGCTGATTAGATGTACAAGTGAGCACCATAGATAAACATCTGTAATAGCACCAGAGCTCTCAGTTCATTCTCTTGGCTTCTCTTTCCAGTTGTGATCAGTAAAAATAAGCTCTTCTGGTTTCCCCTTTCTGTATTTTTGTTCATTTTTACCAGTCAGTACATCATTTTTTTTTCATGTAAAAGTGATGCCTGTTTATTAGGACACAGGTTTCTTCTGTCTCAGTGAAATTTTCAACAAGTATTTTCATTTTTTGTGCTAAAGGTCTGAGGGTAAATGTTCTTTATGTCCTGTCAGCTGTTCATAATCTTCAGAGTTCACCTGTCCATCAAGATAACTCACTGCATTCTGCTCCCTAAAAAGTTAAGGAGCCTAAATTCAGCCTTCATAGAGTGAGAGAGTGTGATTGCTTTCTCAAATCTTGAATAAAACCAGCTACCTTTCCAGTAGCTGTCATTTAATGGTGGGGTTTTTTCTATCCCAGTTATCAACATCCCTAATTTCCAGCTTCCTTCTGAATGTGGATGGTATTTTCTGTGTTTAAGTGTCCTAAAGGGAATGAGGGTTACTACAAGCAACACGATATTTTACCCTATTTTTCATGTTTGATGAAGAACTTCTGGATCTTTAATTTCTTTTGGTGTGTCTCACACTGGGAAAAAGACATTTTAAAAATCAGGAAGTGATTGGAGGTGCCCCAGGAGGCAGAAATTGAGCCAGGAAGGAGGTGAAACCACCGAGTTACCTTGGAGTGGGACCTTTGGGTGACTCTGTCTCAGTTCCTCACTGTGCTGTGGTGCTTCTCAGCTCCATAAAATAGAATCCAAACCCTGAGAGCTGAGTCTGGAGGGAGGCACAATTCTGCTCAAAAATACAAAGGTATACAGAGATATGGCTCTGGATAAGGAGTTAAAGGAATTCTGGGGTTGCTTCCCAAGCTCTCCACACTCACAGGAGGTGACCAAGTTGTGCAGTTTCACTGTTCCTCATTCCCCAGCTGCTCTTGGAGGTGTGACTGTTACTGTCAGCCCCTCCATGAGGTTATTGTGTATTTTAAAAGACATGCAGTAAATGATTCTTCAGCCCTTTAAAAACCAGAAACTCACATAAACACTAGGTCAGGTACATTTAGTTCTGGTCTTAGGTGAAGGGGAACAGCAAGTTTGAGGAAATAACTGTGTGAAAAGTCTTAGTCATGGAGAGAATGAGAAGCTGGTGGAGTTTTATTGGTATGGTTGAGGTGGCAAGGGGACAGGTTTTAATGTGACAGTGATGTGCTTCCTGTGCTCTTGTGGAGAGGAAACAGCTCTGCCTTGGGTTTAGGGGTGGCCCAGCATGTTCCTGTTCCATTAAAGGAAGTTTTAGGAGGGCAAATGTTACTCTTATAACTGAGGGGATTAACTTGGGAAGAGACTTTGCTGGTTCAAAATAATAATGTGGGGGTTTCAGTTCTTTCATTTGCCTCTCAAATTATTGCCAGTGTTGGTGCTTTTGGGCAGGTTAGGCCTTGGGTTTAGCAGGACTCAGTTCCTCAATTAGTAAAACCCAGGGTGGGCGTGAGTTTTGTTATTAACTTGGAGGCTTTTGTGGGAAAACAAAGGCTGGAGGGAGCATCTCTGTGAGTTTTCATGCCTTCACACCGTGAAGTGCCACAGAAATCTTGTCTCTGAGCACGTTAACATTAAATAATTCCTGGTAATGTTTGTGAACTCGGGGCTGGGTTGGCCCCAAACCTGTTGCTTTCCTGCAACCCTGTGGATGGTAGAGTGGCAAACCAGCTGTTTCTGGAGGGTGCCAGAGCCATCTTGAGAGGCTCCCTGGATTTCAGCACGGCATGAAGTCCTCCGGGAGCCGCGCTTGGCACGTGAGAACATGATTCAAGCAGAAGTGGAGCAGGGCCCTGCTGCAAAGCCAGGCTTTTAACTGGGAGCTGAACCTGCCTTTGATCTGCCTTGCACTGGGCTGGCTTGTCAGGGGCTGGGGCAGCACGAGGCTGCTGCTCACAGGTTCAAATTACTGAGGATAATGTCCATTAGCGCGGCTGGAACCGCTCCCCGGAGGGGACCTGGCTTGGAATGGGAAATGACAGATGGTTTTTCATGTAAGCAAATCTTGGGGATGTCTGAGACTTCCCTAATTGTCAAATTAGGCGTTTGTTTTTGTAACCTAAAGGCTACTTGGATGTTAAAAGGGAGACCAAGGCACAGAGCAGGGATTTTTTTTTTTTTTTTTCCTCTCTGGGTTTGAAACCTGCTCGTGCTGCTGCCTGTAAAAGGCTCCTCTTGAGACCCTGTGGATTACTCCTCATTTTCAGGTGTTTTTTAGTATGGGCCCACGGCACTGGAGCAGTTGGTGTTCTGAGGAATAGGCTTTAAATCCCTGTTTGTTTGCAAGTTCTTGGAATACTGTGAGCTCTGCAACTTTAAATTGTGGGAATAAAGCTGTTTTCGTGGGTAGTAAGTTTAAGGAAGGCAATTAAGGACACATAATTTTGGCAGTGTGCTTCCACTGGATCTTTTTCCTCCTTATTCCACTTCTGCCTGCATCCTTCCCACAAGTTTTCCCTCTAACACTAGAATAAGGTCTAAATATGTTACCCAGGCAAGAAAAGCCCTCGTTGAGAGTAGCTACAAACAGAAGATATTTGGATGCAAGGTAAGACAGTGGTTTTAAAGCCTGAGCAGGAGCTCTGGGGCAGCTCGGTGTCCAGGCCCACTCCATGCATCAGGAACTCCACGTGGGAAGCTGTCTGAGCCTTTGTCTTTAACCTTTCTGGCAATAAAACAGATTTTTGAGCCCTTGTAACAAAGGAGGTGTTCAAGGCTGGGCCTGTTTATCTGCCCAGCCCTAAGGTAGGGAGGGGTGGGGCACGGGAAGCCTTAAGCTGGCTTTATTCCTGGTCCCTTGAAATGGGTTCAGCTCCTCCTGGCTCCCCGGCACTCATGTTTTTGTGGTTTCCTTTCAGAACAATGCATACACTGCAATGTCTGATTCCTACTTACCGAGCTACTTCAGCCCCTCCATCGGATTCTCCTACTCCCTAGGGGAGGCTGCCTGGTCCACGGGGGGAGACCCCCCCATGCCCTACCTGACCTCGTACGGACAGTTGAGCAACGGGGAGCCCCACTTCCTCCCCGACGCCATGTTCGGGCAGCCAGGGGCCCTGGGCAGCACCCCCTTCCTCGGGCAGCACGGCTTTAACTTCTTCCCCAGCGGGATCGACTTCTCAGCCTGGGGCAACAACAGTTCTCAGGGACAGTCCACTCAGAGCTCGGGCTACAGCAGCAACTACGCCTACGCCCCCAGCTCGCTGGGGGGGGCCATGATCGACGGGCAGTCGGCCTTCGCCAGCGAGACCCTGAACAAGGCCCCCGGCATGAACACCCTGGACCAGGGCATGGCGGCCCTCAAGCTGGGCAGCACAGACATGGCCAGCAGCGTCCCCAAAGTGGTGGGCTCGGCCGTGGGCAGCGGCTCCATCACCAGTAACATCGTGGCCTCCAGCAGCCTCCCCCCGGCCACCATCGCGCCGCCCAAGCCGGCCTCGTGGGCCGACATCGCCAGCAAACCCGCCAAGCAGCAGCCCAAGCTCAAGGCCAAGAACGGCATCGCCGGGTCGAGTCTTCCGCCGCCCCCCATAAAACACAACATGGATATCGGCACCTGGGACAACAAAGGCCCCGTGGCCAAAGCCCCGGCGCAGGCCCTGGTGCAGAACCTCGCCCAGCAGCCGGCGCAGGCGTCCCCACAGCCCGTGGGCCAGCAGATGGCCGGCAGCCCGCCGGTGGCCCAGGCTGCGGGTGGGCAGCAGCCGCCGGCCCCGCTGCCCGTGCCCCCGGCGCAGCCGGCCCCGCTGCCCGTGCCCCCGGCGCAGCCCACCCGCTGGGTCGCCCCCCGCAACCGCGGCGGCGGCTTCGGCCAGAACGGCGTGGACGGTAACGGGGTGGGGACGGCCCAGACCAGCTCCGGCTCCCCTTCGGAGCCGCACCCGGTCTTGGAGAAGCTGAGGTCCATCAACAACTACAACCCCAAGGATTTTGACTGGAACCCGAAGCACGGGCGGGTGTTCATCATTAAGAGCTACTCGGAGGACGATATCCACCGCTCCATCAAGTACAACATCTGGTGCAGCACGGAGCACGGCAACAAGAGACTGGACGCGGCCTATCGCTCCATGAACGGGAAGGGCCCCGTGTACTTACTGTTCAGCGTCAACGGTAGCGGCCACTTCTGCGGCGTGGCAGAGATGAAATCTGCTGTGGACTATAACACCTGTGCAGGGGTGTGGTCCCAGGACAAGTGGAAGGGACGCTTTGATGTCAGGTGGATTTTTGTGAAGGACGTTCCCAACAGCCAGCTGAGGCACATCCGCCTAGAGAACAACGAGAATAAACCAGTGACCAACTCCAGGGACACTCAGGAGGTGCCTCTGGAAAAGGCTAAGCAGGTGTTGAAAATCATTGCCACCTACAAGCACACCACCTCCATCTTTGATGACTTCTCACACTACGAGAAACGCCAAGAGGAGGAGGAAAATGTTAAAAAGGTAACGTGTTCGTGGGGCTTGGATGAGTCCTGAGGGGCAGGAGGGGCTGCCATGGGCTGGACTGAATCCAGGGTGTGAACCAGGCTTGTGAACAGGCTTGGTGGGCGTCAGCTGCCTTTTGGCTACCTGCCTGCCCACACTTGGAACCCACACCCACATGGCAGTCCCTGTTTGGGGGGGAAATGTCCGGAGGAGGCCATCAAGTTGGTTAGAGGGATGGAGCCTCTCCTGTGGGGAAAGGCTGAGAGAGCTGGGATTGTTCAGCCTGGAGAAGAGAAGCTTTGGAGTGACCTAAATGCAGCCTTCCAGTGCCTGAAGGGAGCCCACAAGAAAGATGGTGAGGGACTATTTATAAGTGACAGGACAAGAGGGAATGGCTTCAAACTGAAAGAGTAGGTTTAGATTGGATATTAGGGATACATTCTTCCCTGTGAGGGTGGGGAGGCCCTGGCACAGGTTGCCCAGAGAAGCTGTGGCTGTCCCTGGAAGTGTCCAAGGCCAGATTGGACAGGGCTTGGAGCAACCTGGACTAGTGGAAGGTGTCCCTGCCCATGGCAGGGAGTTGGAACTGGATGTTCTTTAACATCCCTTCCAACCCAAACCAGTCTGTGGATCAGGTGCCAGCTCCTGGCAGAGCAGGATGAGGAGCCTTGCCCGGGCCCTGCCTGGGCTGCCCTGAGCCTCAGCCTCCCCTGAGTGCTGTGCTTTAACCAAAATGTATTTCTGTGCCATTGTCAGCTCCTGGGGCAGAGCAGTTTGTACTTGGAGATCAGTGGGAGGTTTGGGGAGTTGTAGCAATCAGAGATGGCTCTAATCCACCCCATGCCCACAGTGGGGTCAGTGTGACAGATGTTTCCCACCACTTGTAGAACCTCCAGGAACAGCAGTTCCTGTCCCTCCCCAGGCAGTCTATTCCTATGCTTAATTATCCTTCCTGTAAGGAGGCTTTGTCTAATGCCCAGCCTAAATCTCCTTCACTGTAACTGAAATCTGTGACTCCTTGTCCTGTCTCCAGTGGACATGGATCGGGTTGTTCTGTTCCCTGTGGCTGTGTTTGGGGCCAGGGTGGGCTGTCACCTGCTGTCACCATCAGTGTGGCACCTGTGCTGAGCTCACCACCTGCCTGCAGCTCCTCTGGGTGCTGCTGGGGTTGGCTCAAAGCCTCCTCTCATCATGTACTCCTTAACAACTTGTTAATTGGAAATCCTGCCCCAAATTCAGTGGCCAGTGGGCTTTGAATTGTGCTTGGGTTCAGCTGTGGTAAAGTCACCTGGGGCTGCCCCTCCCCACAATGCAGATCTGGCTCCTGTTTGATCAAAATGATAATTACAAATTAGCATTAGCACAGCTGGCTGGGAGTTTGCCAAGTTTCCTGATGATCTCTTTAGTTTCAGCAACAGGGAATTTTTCATCCAACAGTTGAAGAACAGAGTCAGGAGCTGCAGCTGCTCACAGTGACAGTTGATGCAGTTTTGGATTTTTGATGTATATTTTACATGGAGCATTTTATAAATAATATCACTTAAGCACAAAGGTGATTTGCTTCCTGCTGCTGGAGGGCAGGGTTAGGTGGGAAGTTGGGAAGGAATTCTTCCCTGTGAGGGTGGGGAGGCCCTGGCACAGGTTACCCAGAGAAACTGTGGCTGTCCCTGGAAGTGTCCAAGGCCAGGTTGGACAGGGCTTGGAGCAGCCTGGGCTGGTGGAAGGTGTCCCTGCCCATGGCAGGGGATGGAATGAGATGGGCTTTAGAGTCCCTTCCAACCCCAGCCATTCCATGGTTCTGTGACATCCTCCAGATCTGACTTTAGGGAGCAACAGTTTGCAGTGTGAGAGAGTCAGACCTTGGTACTGTAAGAGAATGCAGGGGAGAGGGAAAATGCTGCTGGAGGACAGGTGAGAGGCAGATGGATGAGTTAATACTGAGTACCTGTAAGCTGAAGAAAGAAGGAAAGAGTGGGAAAGGCTGTGGGAAAAGCAGACAGACCGATGGTTTCTTCCTGGGGAAAGCTGCCGTGTTTGCTGCCTAAAGCCTGAAAATCAGGAAGACGCTAGAAACGAGGCTTGGCAATTTTCTTAAAGCTTGTAAACCATCTTCCCAGTTGCATTTTGAAGTCTCCTCCCCTGCTTGCTTCACTCCAGGCTGTGCTGTGGAGGGTCGGAAGCAGCGGCGATAGCCGGAGCGCCAGCGCCGCCTTCCCCAACCACATCCGAGTGGATGCAGCAGCAGTTGATTAGGAAAGCGCTTACTCTTTGAAAAGGAACTTAGTCATAGGTCTCTGGAATTCACAGATGAGGAGGGAGCTGTGTAAAAACAGGGGTTAGTGTTTGCTTTTTGCCTTTTACTCCCTGGCTGTGTCACGCCCCGGGCCCCTGGGACATCCGGCACGGAGGAAGTGACTCGGTTGTTCTTGCAGGACAGTTTGACCTCCTCCATCGCTCTCTGACGCAGCCTGGAAAGTGGTTGAGGTTTCTGTGACTGCTCTTTTCGTGGTTTCATTGAGAACCAGTTATTTTTGCTCAAGCAGGGTTTTGGTTTTGCCTGGGGTGATGCTCACCCCGGGATTGTAGGTGCCAAAGAAGCCCAAGCCGTGCTCTGTCTGCCTTGAAGCGTCTCAGGTAATCACCTGAATTAAAAAAAATCCACGAGGAACCAGAGTTGAAGCACTGAAAAGTTCAAATGCTGCTCTGGCAGCAGCTCCCTGCCTGCTTTTTGTGCTGCTTTTGTGCTGGGGAAATCCCATTGCTCCCAGCTCTTTGTCTCTGCCACAGTGTGAGATGTTAATGCTCTGCAGTCGTGTTCCTTGAAGCTTAAATGTCTCAAGGTTTGGCTTGTTTTGAACTTCTCCCAGGCTGAAATTGTCTCATTTAGCTTTAACTTGCCCAAACCTTTGGCTGATTTGCAGTTTGATTCCTGATTGCTGCCCAAGATGAATGAGCTCTTGTGAAAGTCTGGGAGTTCTTGAGTATTCTTTTATACTCCTCATTTCTTCAGAATTCCCTAAAGCAGGTCCAAGAAATTATATGAAAAATGCTCTACTTAGTATTTGTGTTACTCCCATTGTCCAGTGAAGGGGGGTAGGTAGTTCAGTGTTGAAAACACTGGAATAATCCTCTTGCTTGTCCTTTCCTGTTGCCTGTGCCCATACTGTCCTTGGAGGTTCGTGTCCATTCCTTTTCAGTGTCTTGCTTTGCTCTACTGATCCAGTTTTTTAAAAGGGTTGGATGGTCTCCTGACCCAAAATGATGAAGCCAACTCCCAGTGCAATCCTACCCGGAGCAGTTTAGGACTTCTTGAAACCCAGAACAGCTGCTTTTATGGCAGAGCATGTCACTGATGTCTTCCCTGTAAGAACTATTTTATCTTCTTTTTAAACAACCACAAAAATCCCTGGCCTTTAGTCATGCACTTGGATTTCTAGGAATGCTGCCCGTAACCCGGGTCTAAAAGATCTCCAATAGTGATCTGCCTGGTGTTTTGTGGAAAAACAATCAATGGAAACTCTAAGGGAAGTCTGGTTTGGTTCTTTCTCCATGCCCAGGCCTGGGATACTTGGCTCCTTGCAGGTTCCAGGGATTTTAGGAAGGATATCCCATGAAAAGCAGTCGGATGGTCAGGTTTGCAGCTGAGAAGGGACTCTTTGCGTTGGGACTTTGGGTGTTGAGTCAGGCTGAGCTGGGCAGGATGGGGTGGGCTTTTGGTGAGGTTTTCCATGCTGAGGTTCACCAGCCTGAAGCAGAAAGGTGGGATTGGCCAGATTGGAGCCGTTATTTCTGGAATTGTGCTGCTTTGTGGCTCAGCTGACACTGCTGGTTAAGGGAGTATTAATAGTGTCAAGTGTCACTGCCCCCTTGGAACATGTGATTTAAGGCATAACTGAGGGGTGTTGTATGAGCCCGTGAAACAGCCTGTTTCACAGTCCCTGGAATACAGGAATGCTTTCTGATGGATTTTACAAAGCTCTTTTCTTCTTCCTAATCTATAACCTCAGAGGGGAGGAGAGAGAATATTCCCTATAGGGTGGACCAGCACTTTCTCCTGCTCTCAGTCATCCTGGGAATGCTGCGTTGCCTTGGCTTTCCCATATCCTACAGGGCAGCATTTCTGACCACAGGGTTCAATTCCTGGATATTCCATATCCAGGCAAAGCCAACTGTTTCCCGTGGCAGCGAGGGAACGCTGCTTACACTCCCACAGTTCCTTTCATCCCGTGATCCCAAGGCTGTTTGCTCTTTTCTGCTCCAAATCCTGGCCATAGTGAAGTTAATTGATTGATGCACCAGGACAGGATTCCCTCGCTGTGCTGCTCAGCAATGCACATGGTTCCTCTCAGTTTATTTCCAGGCTGTTTAAATCCTGTAGGTCTGTGTCCATGCTCGTATATTTGCTCAGGAATAGAGGAAACAAACCTTCCTATGTTGGACATAAGGAATGCTTTGTGCTTATGATACTTTTAAGCCAGCACTCCAAAGCCCCTGACAACACTCGTGGGTTTTTAGTGGTTGTAGCTTTGTCTAAAGGCAGGAGAGAACTGGAGGGGAAGGCTTAGATCTGGCTGGTGCTCTAATCCATGTTTTCTGCTGTCAGACAGGGAACTGTGTTTCCTCATCCCTAAAACCAAGAGCAGCTGGGAGCCATTTCACTGCAACTGAAGTGGAAGCTGAGTAGTGGAAGAGCAAACCTGTTGCACTTGCCTCATGGCCCTGTCTCTCTCTGTTAGTATCTTGCTAGAAATCTTTAATGTAACATTTATCAATATTATGAAATAATATAATGTTTAAAGTCTTCTTGGTGAAGTTGGTTTAAGGGGCTGTCGAGATGCACTGTTTAAAGTTGTTTTTCCCTTTTTTTACCCCTGTCCATGGGGTATAAGGTCCCTTCCAGCCCAAGCTGTTCTAGGATTCAAGGACTGGGGTTGGGCCAGACAGAGTGCAGGCCACATGCAATGAGGAGGTTTTGCAGCTCTCACAGGTATGGCTTTGAGCAGGGCGAGTTTACTCCA